TTTTTTACTAATTTTCGTTGATCTTCATAAAAAAATCTTCCTTTTTTAGAAAACAATCACATATTAGCAAATTTTTATGATAAATAAATAAAAATATTGTAAAACAAAATACATATGAAATAAAAACATCAGCAAATGTAGCTAAACATTCATTCATCAGAAAATTTTGCAAGTTACGCGCATATTTCATAAAAATCTTGAAGAAATACAAATTTTCTAAAGAAAATTTCAAACATTTTTTAACAAATAGAAAAAAATAAAGAAAATGTTTAATATTTTAAGTCAAGGCTTCTAGATTATGTTTAAAAATATAAAAATGAAAAAAAATCATACAATTTAGGAATTTATTCTTAAATATTATTAACTTTAGTCAATGAAAGCGGTTCATAATATTTATCCTGAAATATTTTTCTGTGTAATACCATTTTTAGTAACAGATTTTTAACTTAGTTATATTTCTGAAGAAAATCGACATATGTAATACCATTTTGAAAATTCGAGAGAAAATCGACGTGACTTCGACATACATAATAAGGATGAATATATCCCAAATTGATTACAATAAAAAAATAAAGGAAGATTGACCTGTTATGTTACAAAAAGCGGGATTGAAATTTAAGTCGGAATCAACGGGATAATCCCGTGATGTCTGGTCACGTTAGTTATAACCAAAATCAGGACATATCACTACGTGGTGACCAGTAGCGTTCTAATAACGAAAACCTTTTTCTCAGTCCTTTTGGTGCAAAAACCATCCGCTGCAAATCGATTTCCTAAAACCAAAGAAATTTTAATGAATTTTTAATAGTATAATCTACAAGTTTGAGTACTAAATTTAGAAGAGGGATAAACAGCAATCCCTGTCATTGCTTTTTCTCCTTGTAAATCAATCCATGACACTTGTAAATCGAAAATTTCCGATTTTATATTAAAAAATTAAAAAAAAAAACTTTAAAGCATTTGCCTTTTAACGCTCGGGAAAAAGTGATATACTCTTTCGACGTTGTTTTTTATACTCCATGTGAAATGGAAATTTTTGTCCACCCTAGTGAACATATACTATAGTATATTTTTAATACAATACACATATGTTACAAATATGTATATACTAATTGAATATATGTATAAATAAATTTAGTAGTTTTCCCATATCTAACTATTCCGACTGAAGCTTTAATCGAAAGTTGTCTGGGTAATACTTACAAATCCGCAAAATTTTAAAAAAAGATTATAATTCTAGACTGCCCTTAGTTTAACGGATATATGTATGTATAATAGTTATTTGCATTTCTGTACATTTGTGTAACTATTTTACCATCAAACTTTTAAAATGTAAAAAAAATAATTATAATTTCACTTTCTAGTAAATTGTACATTTTGACACTTGTAGCTATTACTATGTCTTAAAAATTCGTAATTCAATTCTCAACTATACATAATATTATAATTCGTAAAGAAAAATTAGATTTTTTACATGAGATTTGTCATATTACTAAAGCTGACTGACTACACACCATAATATTCAAGCAAACGACATGTCAAAAATAAATAAATAATTATTAAAATAAAATGAAAAATATAACAGTGCACACTGAAAATAATCCATGCCTAATATACACGAAAAATGTTGTACATTGTACGCAATGCTTCGTGGTTTCGCACCACGAAATTGTACGAAATATTTTAGTACAATGCAAAATAATTTTATATAATTTTAGAAAAAAAATTTGTTCATTTTACGATTTTTTTAAAGACATAAATATTTTAGTTCTTTTGAAATAATTATAGTAAAATTAGAAAAAGATTGTGAATTTAAAAAAAAAAAAAAATTTTTATGTTTTTTAAAAAAACATAAAAAATTTTACAGGAAATTATGCAGCTAATTTCCTGTAAATTAAAAATTACGTTTAATTTAACTCCCTTAAAATTACGAAAATAACAAAAAAAATCGTTACAAAATAATTTTTTTGTGAAATCAAAAATAATTCTTGTATATTACTAAATAATCTTGTTACGAAAAAATTCGTTACTTTCGTTAAATATTACATGCCTTAACGAAATTATTTTTGTAAAGAATAAGAAAACAAAGTTTCTTAATATATACGAAAAAAGATATTACGACAGGTTTTCGTACTTTCGTAAAATTAGAAAAGGGGTTGATTAAATAATATTTCGTATTATACACGAAATTTTCGTATATATTACGAAAAAAGTAGTTACGAATTTTTTTTTCGTAAAGTTAAGCATGGATTATTTTCAGTGTAGATACAAAATGTAATCATACTTACTGAAAATACGGGTGGAAAATCGAAAGTCGTATGCTTTTTTAAAATCTTTTTAAAAATTTCAAAACGATTGGATTTTTTCCATTTTATTAGAGTTTTAAACATATTTATTTAAACACAGAAAAAATAAAAACAGAAACAAAATCCAATATAAAATGAACATTTTTGTTTTTTCTTTAAATTTTTTTGAAATGAAGTTTCATTATACCCTTCACCTTCGTGAGAAGTAATGACAGAGTCGGGCACATTTTTTTAAACACACTATTGTGAATAAGATTCGGCAAAGTCGAATATAGACTTCTTACATATTTTATTTCAAATGTGATAGTGTAGAAACAAAAAAATATTTTCCATTTGATTTTTTTTTTTTTTTTTGGTAACACCTTCCGACAAAAAGAGAAAAAATTCGTTAGGCACGAACCGGATGATATACGTCTGAAACTATAAATTAAAAGGAGAAAAACTGCGTTTTTAGTTTTTCATTTCGTGATCGTGTGTCCTTTTAAAAGGACTTCAAAGTTTTAAGAAGTACATTTTTAAAAAAATATTTTAAAATACTTTTACTGTTCAAACAATGTCAAATTTGATGTCAAGCGATTAAGAAGAGTTGGGGAATATTTTGTATTATTATTATTTGATACTGTCAGGATAAAAAGCTGCCAAAAAATTCTTTTAAATATTTTTTATCCTTTAAAAATCTATTTAAATTTTCAATATTATTTTTTCAAAAAAATGTTGAAAGACATCTTTTGATCCTAGTAGAATAAAATAAAAATAACACAAAATATTTTACAACTCTTCTTGTTAGCTTGACGTCAAATTTAGCTTTGTTTGATCAGTAGAAGTATTTTAAAATATTTTTTGAAAAATGTACTTTTTAAAACTTTGAAGTCCTTTAAAAAGGACATAGGATTACGAAATGAAAATTTATCGTTTCAGACGTATATCATCCGGTTAAGTGTCGGACGGTGTAATCATACCAATTTTCATTATATTTTGTTTGGCAGTATGAAATAAAAATCTAACGACTTATAATATGGTATGTAGGCACTTAACATCAAGTATGTATAGGCCTTCAAACAGGAACTATTATTACATTTCAAATAATTTTTTTTCATCAACCTTGAACTCAGCTCAAGCTTATATCAAAGCTTCTAGGTTAAATGCTGTCAACAAATCGTATGCAAAAAAGTGTCCTCTTTCAAATGATATATTATTTGTTTTATAAAAATCAGTTTTCATTTTTGACTTATCGCCACAAGTCTCCATATTGCTGTCCCATCGTGCGCTGTTCAAAAGGCTAACACAAAAAGGAAATATTAAGAGGAAGTTTCAAAAAAGGTTGACAGATACAATATTTATCGATTATAATAAAGATCTGAAAATGTAAATAATACTAAACACCTATTAAAATAAAACCTGTTCTGTTCTGAAAAAACAAAAGGCGGGATTGAAATCAAAGGTGGTATTATCGCAAAAATTCAAAAAATATTTATTTTAAACTTACATAACTCTTGCAATTTATGTGAGATGAGGTACCCTTATATCGATATATTTATGAGATAACGGTACTTTTGTAAAAAAAGTCGAAATAAAAAAAAACAAAATTTTACCATGGCTCTCAATGGGTCAATGGTATATGTCATTTTATACATGAATAGAAACCTCTTTCATAGACCTTTCCAATGATATCCATTTCGACCATATCGGTTATACTATAAACAAATTTTTAAAATCAGCTGGATTAGAACACTAGATTTATGCCCATCCCTATTTCGGTGCGGATCAAAATTTTTTTGTTTGCACAACAACAAAACATTCTTGTTTACCCTACTCTAATTTATTTGGAAATATCCTTCTGTGTATGCTTTTCACATAAAATTGAGTAAACAAACACATTTTTTGCAAGAAAAAAAATAAGCACGACTTATATTGAAAAAAAAAAAAAAAAAACAAAAACAAAACAACAAGTAGGACCGAGCAAAAAACAGAAATAAACGCATCATAAAAAAGCACAAAATTGTTGTTTTAACAGTCTTTGCACATATTCTTATTTCATTCTTCCATGCAAAAACACGAACACTCTCAATCTCGACATTTTACATTTATTTGTCAACAAAACTATAAACAAATTTTACATTTCATTTTAGAATGCTAGTGCAAAATAAAACTTTATGCTCTTTCAGTTGTGAGATTTTTACAAACAGTTTATTTCTCAAAAATGTCCATGTGCATAAAAAAAAGTTTTTCTTGTTATCTCAATATTGTACGAAAATAAAAAACATTACTAACAGTATCATGCAAGAATGAATAAAGCAAACTCATTTTTGTTTGGTTTTGTACATGAATGGAAGATAACAAAACAAAATTTATTTGTTTTTTTTCATGAGCGAGGGTGATAAGTGAATGAATATTTGGAACCCTGGTTGTGAGTGTAATATGAAAATAATTGAAAAATTATATTAAACCAAAATTTTGATAATTAGGGACTTCAAAATTTGCTTAAACTAGCACTAAATTAAACTAATCGGGTAAAATGAAAACTGGCTCAAAGGTTTTAGTCGGAAAGATATCTGAAATATTTTTATTGATTACAATTTTATAACCAAGCCCAAGGCTTGGATAACATTTATAATTTTCTGGAATAAATTGATGTAAAAACCGTATTTTTTGTTATTACCTTTTTAATAAAAATGTTTGTTAAACGTTCTTTAGGTGATCTGCACAAACTTTATTAAGAATGGATTCAGATGATTCCCGACCTGGCTCTTCAGCTTCAAACAGTTCATCACACTCCTCGCAAAATTCAAATAATTACAATGAAATAAAACATGACACTTCATCACATATTGTAGAGACAAGCCCAACTAGCAGTTCAAGAAGCAGACGTTCGCGCCGTTCGGGCTCCGTTTATGAAGACTCACAAAATTCACGCTCGAAATCCAAATCTGATTCAGATTCATCTTCCAATACTTCTCTTAGCGATGATGATGACGATGAGACGAAATCATCTAACAACGTAAACCCTGAAAAAAACTCGATTTTAGACTGTGCTGAGAGTGATAAGGCTATCGAGAATAAAAGAAATGTATCAACCTCTCCTTCTTTAATCTCTCGTCATAGTTCAAGAGAGAGTAGTTTGTCATCTAATCATAGTAGAAGTAACAGTGCTGAACTTCAACAAGAAAATTCTGAGTTAAATATAACTCACGAAGATCTTAGCGACGTCAGTGATCTAGAAAGCGAAAAGCGGACCTCAGTTTATAATACAAAATTGTCAGTTGAAGACATAAATAAAACTGATGGTAACGATTTTGGAGAAAATGAAAATAATATTACTGACTTGCGCCAAAAACTGGAAAAAAAGAAATATCAACTGAATGTAAGTAAAACAGATCTATACCACCATGTGTGGTCCTAATATTTCATTTATTTAATTTAAATTCAATAATATAGTCCAAAGTTAAATCAAAACGGATAAAATTTAAATTAAATTATATTTTCGAATTTTCATTGAGCTGTAGTATTATATTAGGGATTGTCATTTACTATACTTCTTAGTCACACCTGTGCCCCGTTTCTGTAATTCTCGCATCAAGAAAATCTTTCGAAAAATTCATGATCATCTTGTGTAAAACAGGGTGAATACAAGAAATTTAAAAATTTCTTATTAAATTTTAATGAGTACAGTTTAAAAATAATCAGAGTCACACTGTTAAAAACTGGAAGACTATTATATTTTAAGTTTTTTCTCGATTCGAGAAAATTACAGAAACGAGGTACTGGTGTTTTGGTAGTATTGCCAAGATTTTTGGGTAATGTAGACACCATGAAATACACAATACAGTAGATTTGGATACATTTTTAATATGAAAGAAGAAAACGGTTTTGCGTTTCACTTTAAATTGTTAATGTTTTTCTTTAATTTATAAATTTGTATCAGAATAATAAGCTAGTATACCACTTAAATAATTAAAGTTAAACTTTTAAAAAAGTAATTTTTAATATATTTTTTATTTAATTTAAAATCAATAAAAATCATGGCCGATTTTGTGTTTGTTTTCTTTTAAAATTAAATCTAAAAATTATAATGTTTAATTTTATTTTATTTAAGAATATTCTACAGCTTAATTTCTACACCAGCAAAAAATAATTGATGTCATACTTACAAACTACATCTTAATCACATCTTAAAATGCGATTACATATTTTTCACTTTTATAAACCAAATATTTCCTTACAAATGAAACCCGAGTTAAAAGTGGGGAAAGAGATGTGGAAAAGTCATTACAAATAACATATTTGAAGTACATCAAGATTTGGTGAAAGAGTAGTGAAATTTACATAAGCGTGTCATTAAGAGAATGTGTTTTATTTTTGACATCCAAATATCTGTTTTTTACTGCTTCTAAAAATAAGATTAGATGTAGTTCAAAGTTGCCAAAAATGAACAACATCCTTCCAATGACACGCTAATGTAAAATTCATAGGTTTTACACCCGAATTTGAAGCACTTCGGGTTACTAGTTGTGATGAAAATTCTACATCTTTTTCCACATTTTTTTTTGCTGGGACTTAATAAAGGTATTTTCAGACTACAATATTGAGTATTAACACACTAAAAATATTATGAAAATAATACGGATTTTCAAAAAATCAATCCGAAAAATACATTTTATGTTTACACTATAACATTTGTAATATTTCCCAGCAAAAAAAGTGTGGAAAAAGATGTAGAATTTTCATCACAACTAGTAACCCGAAGTGCTTCAAATTCGGGTGTAAAACCTATGAATTTTACATTAGCGTGTCATTGGAGGGATGTTGTTCATTTTTGGCAACTTTGAACTACATCTAATCTTATTTTTAGAAGCAGTAAAAATCCGATATTTGGATGTCAAAAATAAAACACATTCTCTTAATGACACGCTTAAGTAAATTTCACTACTCTTTCACCAAATCTTGATGTACTTCAAATATGTTATTTGTAATGACTTTTCCACATCTCTTTCCTCACTTTTAACTGGGGTTTCATTTGTAAGGAAATATTTGGTTTATAAAAGTGAAAAATATGTAATCGCATTTTAAGATGTGATTAAGATGTAGTTTGTAAAGTATGACATCAATTATTTTTTGCTGGGTTTTTATCCAATTTTTAATTATTTATGCACTTTTCGTTCTGATTTCTAATCTTTTTTAAACTTTAATTTGTTTTTTATTGTATTAATAAAATACATACCAAATACGTTTGAAAATAAAAAGTTTTTGGATTGTTTTAAAAACTTTTAAACTAACTGATTTCCCAGCAAAAAAAGTGTGGAAAAAGATGTAGAATTTTCATCACCACAACATTAGCGTGTCATTGGAGGGATGTTGTTCATTTTTGGCAACTTTGAACTACATCTGATCTTATTTTTAGAAGCAGTAAAAATCCGATATTTGGATGTCAAAAATAAAACACATTCTCTTAATGACACGCTTAAGTAAATTTCACTACTCTTTCACCAAATCTTGATGTACTTCAAATATGTTATTTGTAATGACTTTTCCACATCTCTTTCCTCACTTTTAACTGGGGTTTCATTTGTAAGGAAATATTTGGTTTATAAAAGTGAAAAATATGTAATCGCATTTTAAGATGTGATTAAGATGTAGTTTATAAAGTATGACATCAATTATTTTTTGCTGGAAACTAGTAGCCCGAAGTGCTTCAAATTCAGGTGAAAAACCTATTACCTATTACTTATGAATTTTACATTAGCGTGTCATTGGAGGGATGTTGTTCATTTTTGACAACTTTGAACTACGTCTAATCTTATCTTTAGAAACTGTAAAAATCCGATATTTGTATGTCAAAAATAAACCACATTCTTTCAATGAAACGCTTATGTAAATTTCATTGGTTTTTCATCAAAATTTGAAGTACTTCGAATATGTTGTTTGTAGTGACTTTTCTACAACTCTTTTCTCATTTTTAACTGTGTTTTAATTTGTAAGTATATGTTTGGTTTATAAAAGCGAAAAGTATGCAATCGCATTGTTAGATGTGATTAAGATGTCGTTTGTAAAGTATGATATCAATTATTTTTTGCTGGGTTTATTACGAAAGTCGGAAGAGTCCAATTTTGTTTTGGGGTAGTACGCAGCATGAAGCTTTTGAAGAACATGAAGTCCACACTGACGCCAGTAGCGTAGGCCTTGCTGGCCTACAATCACCTGATGGCGAAGATTGGCATCCCGTGTTCTACTACAGTCGTCACACAACCGAAACTGAAAGCAAATACCATAGTTAGGAGCTAGAGGTATTTGCGGTAGTGGAAACTTTGGATAGATTCCGTATTTATTTGATTGGAAAGCCGTTTCGAGTATTAACCGATTGCGCCGCTATAACGAAAGCTAAAACTCACAAGGAGCTGATCACAAAGATCGCACGCTGGCTTATGAAATTATTGAAGGGTCACGTATGTCACACGTAGATGCTCTCTACAGATCGCCGGACAAGCCGCCGAAGGAACCTGAGCCTGCTGGGTTCGTTATGAAAATCAAAGTCAACAGTAATGATTGGTTATTCACTATGCAACAACCTTGGTTTCAGACTAGGTCAAACAGATAAGGACTGACTACGTCCTCCAAAACCTACGTCTCTACAGGAAGACGGAAACTGGGCTTAAATTTGTTGTTCCCAATTCGACTAGATGGCGAATACTATCACGACGATATTGGACACTATGGCCTCGAAAAAACATTGGAGAGAACAAAGGAAACTTTTTGGTTTGATCGTATGCGGAAATACGTTAAAGGGTATTTTTACCGCTTGTACTGAATGCTGTTACAACAAATCGAAAGGTGGCAAACCAGAAGGCGTCCTACACTACGGTCAATTAGAGCCGTTACCGTTTCGTCAAATTCATATTGAGCATCTATGACCGTTCATACGAAGTAAAAGGGGAAACACACATATACTGGCTATATCCGATGGTTTTATCAAATTTATTGTCGTGAAAGCTGAGAAATACGAGGAGAGCACCAGTTATAAATGTACTGAACGAGTTAACAGGATATTTTGGTCTGCCCAAGAGAATAATATCCGATCATAGGACTTCGTTTACATCAAAAATATTCCAGTATTATTGTGATGAATCCAATATTCAACATATAAAGACCGCTGTGCGAACCGCGAGGGCCAACGGCCAAGTTGAGCGGGCCAATCAAATAATCCTGAATTACCTACGAACCACTACAAGTGAGCCGAAAGATTGAGATTTACAATTGCATAAATTGCAATGGTATGTTAATTCCCAAAGGAACTATACATCCGGTTTTAGTCCGAATGAACTCGTATTTGACTACAAACCAATTGATTTGGTTCAAAATGGAAATATTGCTGCAGTTCAGGACGAATGTGTTGCCAAGAACGATACAATGATTGATGAAAAACGTGAACTTGCAGCTCTTAATATCGAGAAGGAAAGAAAAAAATGGAGGAAGCGATTCGACAAAAAGCATAATACCCCCATGGTATATGAAGTAAACGATTTAGTTGTTCTCGAAAATGAACCACAGGCTACTGGTGAATCCCGAAAATTGGAGCCAAGATATCGTGGCCCATATATGATAACACGTGTGCTTGGTAAGGATCGTTATCTCGTAGAGGACATCTCTGGTATGCAAATCACCTTGCGTAAGTTCTGTTCCGTTTACAGTGCCGATAAGAGGTGGTGCGATGGATTTCCAGAACTGGGCCTTGAAAAAGTTAGAAGCTTGAGTAGTTAAAATCTACTCAAAATCTGGTTATTTTTAGTGATGCAACTCTGTTTTTTCCTAAATAATACTAAAAAATACGACGCTGCACAAGAAAAAAGAGAAAAATAAAACAAACAAAAAAATTAAAATGTCAACAAAATTTTAATAAATTGAAAAACATGAATAAAAAGGATATTTAAAATGAAAGGTAATGTTATATTTAAATATATATTTTTTATTATAAATAAAATTTTAATGAATATCCCATTTCTCCTTCTTATTTTTCATATTAAACACAATTTAAAGAAATATTAGCAAAAATGAAATTTTCCTAAATATCAAAAATAGTAAGTATAAACGGTCTAGATTTGTAAAGAGATTTCAAATGAAATCTACTAGATTTCGTGTATGTGTAAATGGGGTATAAATGAAATAAACATTAGCGGTTTTCGCTTTTAGTTGTATATATAATACTCTATTATATTTACTCATACTTTTGACAATAAAGCGTGAGGACTTTTTTCATCTATTGTAAACTTATATAAACAGCTGATTATTGTTATTCCGCAAAAAAAAAAATAAATGAATTTAAATTAAAAAATGCCTAAACAATCAGAAAAAAGTAAAATTATAGATTTTTTAGTGAAAAATGCTAACGATAAAATGGATATTGCAGATATAACCGACTACGTATAAAGTGATGAAGATTTAATTTTTTCTAGAAACTTGTGTCATAATATGAAAGACCATATTTTGGATGAACTTATCGAGAACAATTTTGTGTACATCCTACCGTCGATTAGTTCTAAATGTGGTTCAATAATTTAAAAAGGCTTAAAAATGCGAATTAATTCTTCTCAAAGCCATTTATTTTCTTGCCAATGGATTGATGTATGCTGTATTTTACACAATATTCTATAAAATGGACCAGAAGTCAAAGAATTCAATCAATCAATCAAAAATTTGAATTCAAAAGACAAGCAATTTATTCTTTATTATTTGAATAATTAACATAAAAACATTAATATATTTATATTAAATAATATAAATTACTCCCGGTTTTGTGAAGCATATTTATACCGCATTTCTATTTCATACTTTTTCCAGCTCCAAAATACGCAATCGTTCGTCCTTTTCTATTTCTATTTTTTTAATTCTAATTTTTCTTTCTTTTCTTTTACTTCTTCTTCCATTTCCATTTCTATTTTTTTTTTTTTTCTGTTTTAATTTTTCCTTTCGCTCATTTACTTCCTCTTCAAACAGCTTTTCCTTCAGTTCAAATTCTTTCTTAAATTTTTCTTTTTCAAATTCAATTTTTAATTTTTGGAAAGGAAAGGATCAATGAAAGTTGATCTATAACGTTTTTTTGTGCAGCTCTTTTTAATTTTGCCGCAAATTCTTGCACTGCTTTATCTTTATTCTGCAAACCAGTGTTTCCGTTAGTTTCTGTAGGTGAAGATGGTTCGTTTAAAGCTGAAGTCTGTGAACATGAAGATGAAGGTTGCATGTCTGCGGATTCACCTTCTATGTCTACAGAACCTGTATATTGTATGACTGGGATTGAGCAGTATTCATCTAGATTTGCAAACCCACAAAAGTCTATTTGGTCATCTAATGTGCTTTCAGTGACCGGAGTGCTATTAAGCCCAATATTAGTAGAAATCGCGCTGTCATATATTTCAAAGGGGAATTCGGGTGTTTTATTCCCAAAAATGTTGTGCAATTCGTCGTAAAATCGACACATCTTCCTTAGTTTATCTAAAAAGAAAAATATTTCAATTAACGATGAACATACATAATTAGCAAAACGATTACTTACCTTGTACTGATGAGACACCTTCATCGGCTTCGAGCAAACCAGCTCCGGTCGACTTTCTCCAAGTCTCAGCTTTGTTATAATTTGATTTAAGATTTTTGACTTTCTAGGACAATGTCCCAAGATGCATCTAACTCTGTTACTTGCTTTCTGTAAAATATTTGGGCTGTTGGCTTCTAAAATATTTACAGATGTAATTAAAATTTCAATAAAAGCACACATTTTTTAAACTTACTTCAAAATCTTGTCGTTCTTGCAGATATTCTAATAATTGCTTTATTTCGGCATCAGTCCATCTTTTATTGTTTAGTTTTTCACGTTTTCTTTTTATTTTTACATTTGTATTTGCACTCATTTTTGTTTTTTAATATTTAGCGAACAATTTATAACAAAAAAATCAAATCTAAATTATTTTGGCGGATAGACGATCAGCTGTTTAGTTTTTTTAGTTTTATATTTATCAGCTTATATACTAGACCTTTTTTCATGGTAACTCTAATACAGCGTTGTATATTTGTAATATTTATAATATACCTACCATAGTTAACATGGATACAATGGTACTTTACTACCAAGAGTGAAAACCGCTATTAATTTTAAATTTTATTGAAACTACGCCCCGAGTATTTTTTATTTAATATTGTGGATAGATACTCAACTGAAAACTTTTTCATCTGTGACAGTATTATGGACATAAGAGTCGCCTTTTAAATTTAATATGTTCCTGTCTGTTCTGTAAACCGAATCCGAGTAAATTTCTCATTTAAAAATGAATTCTCATAACTTTTCTCGTTTTAAAACCGAGTACACAAACCTAGTCGAAAGTAAATTTTAATTTTATTCAAAGAATTTAAATAATTATTTTTTTGCGTTTTTAAATATAATTGTAACTTAATATAAATGCTATGGGCATTTTAAACTCTTGTTCATTTAAAATTTGATTATTTTTCTGAATTTTACGTTCAAAAAATTCGATTTGCAGAACACCAAATTCGGGTTTTAAGCTTCTCGGTTTTGAAACCGAGTCGATTTACAGAACAGACATTCATTCCCCGACAGCCGGTTCTACGTACCGGAATGACCCGAATTATTCGGCCAAGGGCTGTCAACTCCAGCAACAACAATGCAATTTTCTGCAGCGGAGCAACATCTTCCGGCATTTCTGCTCCGCAACCATTTTGTTCCGTGTCGGAATTGAATTAAATCCCGGACCATGGTTCTACACAGTTTGCCAGAACCGACTGCACCATATGTCCATCTAATTAAGGTGCAACTCTTGTTTGGGCTGGTGTCATCTCAGGAACTGCTCCGGATTTAACTATCATCGAGAGTGGTCGGAAAATTTCATCTCCCCATGCGGCTTACAACAACGGCGAGATTCATCAGCGTCATCGACAACAACATCGTCATCTTCCTACGCTACCCCTCCGCCCTCTCCCCTGCAATCACAACAACAGCAGCAGCAACAACAATTCCCGTCACCGCTAACACATTCGATTGCACTCCGGAGACCTGGGATGATATCCATATTGCAGTTCAACTACAATGGCCTCCAAAACAAAATTTCCGAGATAACCCGATATATGCAGCACAACAACATCGTGGTCGCTGCGGTCCAGGAGACGAAACTGACGAACAATTCCAGTCTGCAAAGTTGTAACGGATACAACATTCTTCGAAAAGATTCATTCATAACACCGTGCAGTATAGAGCTCTTTCTCTCGATTCTAATTCCAGAGACCAATATCTTGAAGTTCAACGTATTGCAGTCAGATCGGGAGAAACCGACTTACAGCTCTATAATGTCTATATTCCGCCTGTAGCCAGCTGTCCAGCAGGCTACCGTCCCGATATCAGGACTTCAACGCCCACCATCAGCTCTGGCACTCTTCTTTAGGTACCGACATCATCATAGCGAGTGCCAGTTTGATCAACTACGCAACATGGCGAGCCGTAGTTTCTCTGGGATCAGACCACTTACCCATAATCGTTTGTCTGGATCGACCTAACGATTTTATCGTCTCTGAACGCCGTCAATACGTAAACCAAAAGAAAGCAACCAGGCGCAGAGTTGAGTACCTGACTATGGTCTTCAACAAGTCAGTGAGCAAGTTCGTAATACCCGAAGCCTGGAAAAGTGTAGAGTCATTCCCATTTTAAAACCTGGGAAAGACGCGACGGACCTGTCGAAGGCCTTCGACACTGTCAGTCACGCCACTCTCTTCGAGGATATCCTGCAATCCACAATGCCCAACAACACGAAGAGATGGATCGTAAATTATCTGAGTGGCCGTCAGTCGTTCGTGGAGTTTAGTGTGGTCACCTTCGCTAAGTGATACCCAGTGGAGAAACATTCAAAGCTGCCAAAATGCCGCCCTTAGGACTGTAACGGGCTGATTACAAATTACCTCGGAACATCACCTGCACGAGGTAACGAAGGTCCTCCCAGTCAAGGAACACAATGTCATGTTGACTAAACAGTTTCTCGTGGGATGTCATCGGAGAAGTCATCCCAATTTTAACATCACACAATTGGATACTCCCCCGAGGCATGTCAGGAAGGATCTTCGTATTCGGCAGCTTTGAACGACATTCATAGAGACGCCATAAATTCCGCGGTCGCAGGATACCGCATGAATGTCGTACTTGGAGGTCGCCCACCGCCCATAGCAGACACGGAAGAAAACCTGCCGCGGATAACAAGAGTGTTCTGGCACAACTAAGATCGGGATGGAGCAACAGGCTCAATGCCTACTGTTTACGTATAGACCGTGCCGTCCCCAACGAATGTCCTGCATGTGGTCAGGGTCCTCATGATACCCACAACATATTCAACTTCTCAGCCAACTCTACTTGACTCTGTCCAATGGATTTATGGACGCATCCAGTTGAAGTAGCCCAATTTTTAGGACTGGACATTGATGTAGAACCACCCCCAACTAGATTATTGTATAGTTTTAGCTGTTACAACAACAACAACAGAACATACATGATTATTTGAAATAAATAAAGATATCCATCATTTCAGAAGAGCTAAGCACAAAGCAGTACAACGAAAAATGTGTCGATTATAAAGGATTTAGAGATTAGGTTTGAATTGTTTTCTCTCAACCATATTTTTACCATATCAACCATATCTTTAGAGCAACTTCAAACGGTCTTTTTAACGATATTTTTAAGAATATTTTTTACCAATTTTGACTCTATTTTTTAAATTTCCGTATAATTTAGTAATTTTTCATAAACTGTGGACTATTATTAATCAAATTCAATTTAATTTTCCCCATTATAATGTCCACATACCCAACTAAATTTTCATCACAACCTAAGTTTTTGAGTTTTTTTTTTTTATAAATATTTGTGTTTAGGAAATAAGATAATAAGAATAAACTATCAAAAGAATTTACGTATACGGTTAGTTTGGAGTGTTTTTAACGATTTTTTTAAATGTATAAATACTTTTGAAAAGAAGATAATTTGTATAAATAATTTTGAAATCTGAGGTTGTTGACTCCTTTTAGAATTTTTACCAGGAGCCACTATCTTTTTTCAAGAAAGTTTTAACTAGCACAATCTACACACTTTAAGGAATAGAATAGGATTGATTTTTTGTTCCAAAATTAAAAATAAAGTATCAAAATGTGATTTTAATTCAAAGCATACTTAAATTTTCATAGGAAAAATGTACAACACCTCCTAAAGAAGATGAAAAAATAAGTACAAAAGGCAAAGCTGAAGAATCGTTTGAAGATTTGGTTAAAGCTCACGATGAAGACGCTTTAGATTTTGAAGCCGAAGAAGGTGAATGTCATGAAGCTAGTAAGAATGATGCAAAAGAAGAACCTGAAAAAGGAAATTATAAAAATGAGGAAAAGATAAATATATCAAAAAAGGATGAAGATGAGTTAGAAGAAGGAGAAGTCTCAGATGAGGATGAGAAACGACCAGAGGAAACAGAACCCAAACCAGTATGTAGATTTTACACACGTGGGCAATGTACTTGGGGTATGAGTTGTCGTTTTCTTCATCCTGGTGTAACTGATAAGGGGAATTATACCATGTTCGACCTAGTTCGACCTGTTCCACTGCCACCTAGCGGAAGTAATGCTGGAAATCGTGGTTCTACTTATTCTCTACATACATCGGATTTCCACGACTATCGTAATGAACGTCCTGTAATACATCATCGTAGTTCCTCTCTACATCATAACACTGGTGTCTATCCACCCAATCATGAAACTCGCAAAGTAGCCTTAGATGGGCCAGTAGTTGTTGAAAGTGCTTGGGAAAGGGGTCTACGAACTGCTAAAGAAATGATGAGAAAAGCCAATAAGCGAAAGGAGCAAGATATGGATTTCGAAGATAAAAAAATGAATTTAACGCTGTCGCCAGATGAGTTAGAGAAAGATCCATACTATTTAAAGGAAAGATTATCTCCTTCCGAAGTAAGTTTGTGTTATTAGTTATTTATTTTAAATTTTTATTTCAATTTAACTATGCTCTTAAAGAATGCTCGACATTCTTTATATGTTGAATCGGCGACAGATGTTTATAATGGCGGTGATCGTTATGGGCGTGGACCACCATTAACACATTATGATGAAGTTGATCCATATGGACGATCTACTCGATATAGGGAACTCCCTCCTCATCGAATGCCACAGTATGAAGATGAGAGGCGCATTCGTCCCGCGCGGGAGGTGATCGTACAAAGAGTTGAGCCTATAGGCCGTAGCGATGACTGGAATGATCCTTGGATGCGTTCAAAATCACCAAATGGACGAGGGGGATCTCGTGATCACGGAGAGAAAAGGCGTCGAGAGCGTCGTAGTTACAGCAGTAATTCATCTTATACAAGTTCAAGTAGTTCACAATCTGACTCCAGTTCTGACTCCAGTCGATCCCTCAGTCCACGTGACCGCCATAGACGTCGTTATAATAGCAGTTCACACAAAACATCACCTTCACTAACACGTAGATCCGGTGGACGAAATATACGATCACTTACTCCACCACCAAGAAAACTAAGGGGATCCCCAAGTAAGTTTTCATACCTTATTATAAATTTAATATGAAAATCACGTTTTTTAACAATGTTTATTGCAAGCAACATTTGAAGCATTGAGGCAGTAAGTTCGTGAGGACATTTTTCGTTGTTCCATTTTTATATGTGCATTAGAGGTGTAAAAGGAATATTAATTTTGCTCAGATGGGTCTTATTTTGTTCAACAGTGTCTAAAACTAACTGGTGTAATTTTAGCCAAATCGGATAACGGGAACCGGTGCCGCAAATCGATTGAAAAGTGTAAAATTGGGTAAATAATAGGACTATTTTTTAATTCTACAAAAATTGGGTCATTAAAATTATAGTTTCTTAAAATTTCGACTAATCTTATCTTCTAAAGAAAACTATCTTTCCAGCATAATAGCATACCCAGCAGTTCGATAAAGAGTCAATGCATACTAGGGTGATCGACTCGATTTTTCAACCGGTTTTAAAACCGGTTTTTTCTGCTTTACCAATGTCGGTTTTTTCTTAATGTTGATTTTTCGAATATCGAATAACCCGGTTTTTTCACTTTTTAAAAACCGGTTTCGAATACTTTTATTTGCTTTGTATTCAAAGATTATTTAAATGAAATTTTTAAGTAAATAATAATACAGCCCGGCTAAATTTTAAAAATATTCGAGTCGAGGAAATTTTAAAATTTTATCAAACAGTTATCAATTTTACAAATAAATTTTTTTAATTAATTAGGAAAATCAAAGAAGTTTAACCAAAGGAGCTGTAGAAAAATATACGCTAGATTTTTCTACAGCTCCTTTGGTTAAACTTCTTTGATTTTCCTAATTAATTAAAAAAATTTATTTGTAAAATTGATAACTGTTTGATAAAATTTTATCAATCTTAAGATTATATTCCAATTACAATAATTAATTTACGGCTGAAATTTTATGGAAGTGTTGGAATGCCTATGCAAATTTCCTAAACAGGGCTTTTAAAATAAGCTAGGATTACATAGTACCTTATGTTTAACAGAAGTGTCCCACTTTTTTCCTATTTTTTTTTATATTAAAAAAATAATGTAAATCAGACGACTAGATCTAATGTTATAATCTTTTAAACTGTTAAAAATCATTTCGGGCCATGTTTTATTAATCAAATTTAAACATAAACATTAAGTTTTTTAAATTAAAATATATTTCTTTTATTTATAATGAAAAATCGGTTAACCGGTTTTTTCTGTATTTGAAAAATATCAACCGGTTTTTTTTAAATGTCAACTATTCGAACTATTCGAAAACCGGTTTTTGGAAAATGTCGAATAATCGATCACCCTAATGCATACGTAAAAGACAGTCATTTACACTAATGTGTAACCACATGGTTGACCCTAATTTCTATATATTGGGTGATTTGTCACCAACGTAGTCTTCGTAAACGAGAGGGAGGACAGTCGTCACTTTGGGTACCCTAGGTAAACGAGTGAGGTGACACTTAAAAATTGTTTTTTTTTTTCATTGTACTTCAGAATGTAGATATTTTACACATCTATTGGAGACACAATTGTTATTTTCCACTAAAGTCTAACCAGCTGGTTGTAGCCTATTTGAATGTTTTTAATCATTCATCACTAATGTACTCTTTGTAATCGAGAGCGAAGACAGTCGTCGAGAGCGAAGACTGTCCCCTGAGTAAAAGAGAGAGGGGACAGTTGAAAAAACTTAAGAATTGAAGGTGAAGAGAAAAAGAATAAACATGATCGGTTTTGTCTGAGTGCAAAGACAATGAACAGTTATACTATTTCATCACTTTTTAAGTTATTTGATTTTTATGTTAGTTGACTAAGAAGTTGTTTAAGGCAGTTCTTGCGAAAATTTTGAATTTTAAAATATGGAAATGTTTTTAAGTAAATTAAAAAATAGTAAAAGTAATGAAATTTAAATAAGAAATATAATTTGGAAAAGTAAATTGATTAAAGGTGAATTAAAACAAACATTTTTAGCAGAGATTACGGAAAAAACTAATCTTTCCTTGATATAACATATTCTATTCTTCCAATCGGTGTTGGTTAAGAATGTTATTTCCGGAATAACATCACTTCCAAGATACTTGGATCTAACTTCGACGAATGCCTGACAATGGCAAAGAAAGTGCTCCAGAGTTTCACTGTCCTCTCCACGTGCTCTACATTCGTCTGAATCCGCACGTCCAATTTTGTATAGGTGTGCTCGTAATCCTGTGTGTCCACTCAGAATACGTACCATCATACTAACCTCAGACTTGCTCATATTGAGAAGATTTCTCGTCTTGCTCTCATCAGGGTCACCCCATAGAATCTTTGTGGATCTACCCACCGTTTCATTATTCGAAGAGGCCTTATGGGATTCTCTCATCCATATTTTTAATTCAGCTTTTGTTGCGTCGAATGGTTTTGCGTTTGTCAGGTTAACTACATCGAGCTCCCTTCCCTTTAAAGCTATTACATTCGCCCTTTCGTTGCCGACTATTCCCGAGTGGCCTGGTACCCATATGATGTGAACCTTACCTCTGGGAGAGTATTCAGTTAAAGCTTTCTTACAATCCAATACGGTCTTAGATTTAATTCTATCACCTAATATATTAAGCCCTGTGGGCGCCATATTTATTCTAATCCGATTTACACATTCCGTTATTGATCGTACTTCTGCCTGGAAGCTTGTGTTATGATTAGGTAAACGGTGGTATATTTCTGTTTCTGGGTCTTCAATATAGAACCCCAGGCCCACTTTGTCCCCTAATTTAGAGCCATCCGTGTAGCAACGGATTCCTATTGGTATTTGCTCTAATGTTCCGCTTGACCAAGACATTCTATCTGGGATTAGCGTTTCAAAGTTTCCGACATATTCAGTGTCTGTTATGCGATCAGGCACGTCGCTGAACTCCCTGTAGTAGTTTGATATTACACTTTTTGTCCAAAGCAGTCCACCAGATTATTGAAGCATAAGCTAGAATTGGTCTAATTACACTTTTATAAAGCCAATTTGTCATAGTAGGACTAAGACCCCATTTCATGCCTATGGTTCTCCTACATATCGCCCAGCACCGATGTGTCTTGTTGATCCTATCTTCTATGTGGTGTCTCCATTTTAATTTCCGGTCAAGTATTACACCTAAGTACTTAACTTTGTCTGTCGCCGGTATCTTCTTGCCCAGGAAGCAAGGTTCAGTATATGTAGAAATTTTTGTCTTGTGAAAAGACAGATTTCCGTCTTCGCCTGGTTAACATTGAGGCCTCTCGGTTGAGCCCAGCTCAAGGCCGTATTCAGAGCCTCCTCAGCACTTCTACACAAGTAATTTGGATCCTTTCCCTTTAAAAGTATTACGACATCGTCTGCATAGCAGACAGGTCTAAGTCCTTTCTCGGTTAGGGTCCATAGGAGGCTATTAATCGTGGTAACCCAGAGTAAAGGTGACAAAATGCCACCCTGTGGTATACCGCGAAATACCTTTTTCCTGATAGTTATATCGTACATCTCGCAGCTTATCCATCTGTTCCTTAGCATGTAGTTGATCCAGTTACGGAGCACCCGGTCAACATAAAACTGGTCTAGGGATTGGATAAGGGTATCAGTGTGCACGTTATTGAAAGCGCCTTCGATGTCAATGCATACCGCCAGTGTATACAGTTTGCTATCGAAAGATTCACCTATGTAGTGGACAACTTCATTTAAAGCGGTTTCCACCGATCGTCCCTTTACATAAGCATGCTGCTTATATTTAAGGTCTTTGTATGGTATGCTGCTTTTAACCATGCTATCGACTATCCGTTCCAAGGTTTTAAGTAGGAAGGACGTAAGACTTATCGGTCGATAGGACTTAGGTGTCGCATAGCTAGGTTTCCCTGGTTTGGGTATAAATATTACCCTTGCATCCTGCCATTTAACTGGGGTATATGCCAATTTTGTGACAGATGTACGGAAACCAGTCCCGCCTCCATCTGCAAAAGTGCCGGGAAAATTCCATCCGGCCCTGCAGCTTTATAGGGAGCAAAGCTCTTGATTGCCCCTTTAACCATGTCAGCTGTAATAACTATTTCCGTGTTACCCTCCCCTTCCTCCAATATCGGTTCATCTATGTTTTTCGATATACCGGGTGGGAAATGAGAATCCATTAGGAGTTTCATTGTCTCCTCCATATCCTCAAGCCTCCTGCCCGTGTCATCGATCATAGATTCCGGTTGGACATGAGTTTTGGTTAGAAATTTTTTTATCTTCGATTCGTCATTTACGCTATCTACCTGTTCACAGAAAAGTTTCCAGGAGTCTCGTTTGGCTTTTCGAACGATTTTCTTATATTCACTAAGTTTATTACGATACTCATCCCAGTATACTGCGGTCTTTTTACGCCGTGCCCGGTTAAATAGTTTGCGAAGAGTTCCGGATCTCCCCAGTTACCCAGGGTTTTTCCTGGGCAGATCTCCGCTCTCGCAGAGGGCAGCTGTCCTCGAACGATTCAACCAGGGCACTTGTGAACGTTTCCACTGACCTAAACGGTTCTTTAGTAAGGTCCCGAACATTGTCCAATTAGTTTTAGACTTATTCCGAAACTTTATCGACTTTGGTGGTGGCCTTAGTATTTTGAATCTTATGTACCGATGATCAGAAAAGGAGTGCTCGTCCGAAACTCTCCAATCCTGAATTTCGTTTATAAGCTCTTCTGAACATATAGTTATATCTAATACTTCTTCTCTAATTCTATTGACGAAGGCAGGGGACAAGCCATGAGGGCTTGTCCCCTGCGATTGGTGTTTGTACTATCCCAAGCTACATGGTGCGAGTTGGCATAACAACCTATTACAATTTTCTTATTTTTTCTTCGTGCCTCTTCAACCAGTTTCATCAGATCCGACGTTGGTGGTAGTGTCGGAGAATCGAAAGGCAGGTAAATAGATGCAAGGAATATGTTGCCACGACCTTGCTTCAGCACCGTTGCATCCGATGTTGATAATCCTGTTGAGAGGAGAAAACATAAGTTCTTGTGACATAAGATACATGTT